GCCTCTGGCCGGTCTGTGGTGAGAGCTGTGAATGGAGAAGCCCTCAAGGCTTCACTGCTGCCTTTGTGATTGTCTTTGGGGTTTTTGGGGAACTTCAGATGTTGTTTTAGGGTGTGCAGCTTCCACAAGACTGGGGGGTGATTTTTAGCTTGGGGTAGACTTTTCTGAGGAAAGCGACTCGGAACTGCCGGCCTCTTATCCCTGTTTACTTCTCCACTCCAGAGGTCACCTGAATTACAGTCATAGATCTACCAAGCAGTCCCATAACCATTCCTTAAAGCTTCTTATCTCCCCTCCTGCTGGCGGCACAGCATGCCAATGTGAAGCTCCTCCTAATTTCATAATTTGGACGTCCATAGTTCAGAAGCCCTTTGTTTATGCATAGCTTTGGCAGTCCTGTGACTCGAGCTGTGCTATTGCCTTGGAGATCCCGAATTGCAGGAGCAGCTCTCCTGCGCAGCGCGCCCTGGGTCTCCCTTGCGCTGGACCCTGGGACAGGCTGCCCGGGGCCGGCCATGTCCCCAGACAGCGGTGGGCCCGAGCAGCTTTGTCATGTGGACGAGGGCTACCCAGCGCCCGCCGCCAGGCTCGGCGCCGGTGCCGTAGGCTCTTGGTGCGTGTCTGGGCTCTGGGATGGCCTCGGCTGAGGAGGGCACTTGGCACAGCTGCCTCCGCTCCGAGCTTCGTGCCACCGCATCCAAGAGCCGACGGCTGCCCCTGCCTGCCCTGTGCCCAGCACACCCGCGGCAGGCAGGGACTGCTCACCCTGCCCTTGGCCCAGCTGGGGGGTCCGTGCCCCATCCCAAACCAGCTCTGGTAACCGTTACCACTGGGGTCTGTGCCCCTGGTGCAGGTCAGGGCTGCTGCTGGCGGCTGGGGCTGCTGGCCAGCAGCCCGGCAGGGTCCCTGAGGAGCAGGGAGAATGGGCAGGGGTGCAGGCAAGCAAGGGCGTGCTCCTGCTCCCAGGGCGCATGGGTGGCCGAGTCCCCACCCCGGGGGTATTTAACAGCCGGGCAGACGAGGTGCTTAGGGCCAGGGATTGGCAGGGTTAGGGGAACGGTTGGGGTGGGGGAGGTTAAAGGGCTTTTCCCACCCAAACCATTCTGTGATTCTGTCCGGCAGCGCGTGGGGAGGCGTGACTGAGGGTGCAGGGGCTCTTCCCCTCCACTCAGCCCTGCCAGTGCGGTTAGCTCCCTTCGGGCGGGTGAGAACAGGCGCTCTGGTCCCATACCCTCTATTCCCTCTGCAGTGGCCGATCGTTAGGCCATGAGGAGTGGACGATGGATAGTCCAAGGACCCTGCACCAGAGGGTATGTCTGGACAGCTGTGCCTCATCGCCCCGATGGACCTCTTCTCTCTGAGCATTTTGTTCCTCTTTGAGCCTGTTCTTTCTTCCACACCCGCAGCATTTGGTGCCAACAGGCTCCAGGAGGTACCACCTGCAGCAGGGTTTGTTCTAAACCTGCTGCCTGCTCAGCCGACACGGTGCTGCCAGGTCTGGTGCAGTCAGGGAGGGAAGAAAGAGCAGCTCTGCAGTTGCCATCTCCTGTGCTTGTGGTTCCAGAGGTCACTTCCCTTTGGCCACCCCTTTAGGAACCCCAGGCAATTCAGCTTCTTCCTTAGGTGAAGCTGCTCCACAGCTCGGTGGTTGTTCCTGCTCTTCTCAGTTGAGGTTTATTTCCTCTTCTTCTGACACCTGGACAGAACTGCAGCGTAGCTGAGGTTGGCAGGGGCCTCTGGCGACACCCCAGTGCGGCCCCAGCTCAGCTACAGCAGGTTGCTCTGTAAGAACCATGTCCAGTCGAGTTCTGAATGTCTTGGAGGTAGGTTGCTTTCTGGGTAACCTGTTCCAGGCTCAAGGCCGGTGCTGCTTTACCCTCACAGTAAAAGAGGATTTTCTTACCTTTAGGGCATGTAGGGCTTTTTCTTAACCTTAAACGGGATTTCCTGTCCTTGAGGTTTGTGCCCATTGCCTCGGGCTCTGTCCCTGGGTACTGCTAAGAGTCTGGCTCTGTCTTTCACAACCCCCTGCCAGGTATTTGCACATACAGATAAGATGCCCCGATCCTTTCCTACTCCATCCCTGTCAACCTCTTCTTGCGTATCCTTCCTACGGCCCTGCACCGGACCCGCTCCCGTATGTCCATGTTCTGGGCAGCCCAGCACTGGACACCCCAGTGCTGAGTAGCAGAGCAGGATCGGCTCCCTCGACCTGCTCGCAGTGCTCTTCCTAATGCACCCCGGGACGCTGTCGGCCGCCTTTGCTGCCAGGGAGCGCTGCTGGCCGGCATTCGACTCCCCTGGCAGGGCCCTCGGTCCCTTTTCTGCACAGCCGCTCGCCGGCCGGTCGGCCCCAGCCTGTCCCGGTGCTTGGGGTTATTCCCCGCTAGGCTCGGGACTTGGCCCTTCCCCGCCTGGGGGCCGTTTCTGCAGCCCGTTGGGTCTCTGAACGGCAGCACAGCCATCTGGTGTGTCAGCCGCTCCTCCCCGGTTTATGCCGTCCGCAGCCGCGCGGGGGGGTGCGCTCGGTCCCATCGGCCAGCTCACTAACGAGGGTGCTAAACGGCGTTGGCCCCCGCGCTGGCTCCTGGGGTATGCTGCGAGTGACTTGGTCCAGCTGGGCACGGTGCCTCTGTTCGCGGCTCGCTCAGCCTGGCACTTCAGCCCTCCTGATATTTAATTTAAGGCCTTGCCTTGCTGTTGTGTTGCCGTGTGTCTGCTCATTGGCGCTGGACTGCCTGCCATGTCTGGCACGCTGCTGCGCTGCCGGGGTACGTCTGCGTGGCTGTGCCAGGGCGCGCTCCTCCTCGCACGCCGTTGATCCGGTAGCAGCGGCAGGCGTGGATGTGCCAGTGCCTCTGGACAGGGCTCCCTTCCAGGAGCGCCGGCTCCTCCTGCAGCACGAGCGGGGGCTGCTGCGGTGACCGCACGGGGCATGGCCAGGTCTTTCACCCGGGCC